AGGGCGGGGCGGGGCGGGGCGGGGCAAGACAAGGCGAGGCAGGGCGAGGCAGGGCGAGGCAAGGCGGGGCAGGGCAGCAGCCCTTCTGTCGCCCCGGCCGAGCAGGAGCTGTGCTGGCAGTGCCGGGGGACCAAGCCGCTGCTCAGAGCTCTGTCCTGCGCGGCAGCCACAGGGGCCGAGCCTGGCTCTGCAGCCCTCTGTGCTGGAGGGAGTGGCCCGCGATGAGAGAGAGCTACCTTGAGCTGCTGGAAGTACTCGTTTGCCTGCTGCTGGCTGAGGCGCAGGCCCCGGGCGAGCAGCGCCCGCAGCGCCCGCGCCACGTCCCGCGCCATGCGCACGTCCCCGCACACGTAGATGTGGCCCTGCTGCACCTGCAGCACCTCGCACACGCGGGCCTCCAGCTGCCTCTGCAGGATGTCCTGCACATAGACCTGGGAAACACAAAAACCGTCAGCGCACCAGCTTTCTGAAATGCTGCTTTGCTTGTTGGCTCTTCTGAATCCACCGTGGGGCTGTGCACTGAGGCTCTGAGTGCCCCGTCTGTCCCAGCTCTGTCCTGCACCACAGCAAAAGTGAAAAATGTCTTCAGGCTGCCCTTTACAAGCCCCAGAGGTGGAAGCTGGGCCTGTCTCTTGATCAAACTTGCACAGACAAAAACCCTTCTATCTGCCAAAGTCTCCTAACTGCCAGGAGAGCTAAAAAGAGGGTAACTTCTGTGCTGTTGTTTTGTCAAGATTCTTCTGTGCAAAATTAATTTCCATGGTTACTGTGTCATTGAAATGGAGACAAATGACCAGAGCCAACTCACTTCTAACTCATGGGCTAATCAAATCTTGCAAAATACAAGGTTTCTGAAAATGTCCCAGTTCTAGTTTCAAAGGCAGTTTGCACTGGACGTGCCTCTCTATAGCAGTAAGGGGTTTATAGCACATTTATAGCAACTTACAGCACAGCTTGCTTGTGCTCGAGTGCACAGGGAGATTTTCCTTCATTTGAAGGAGCTCAAACCTGCTCACAATACACTGAAGCAAAATGCTACGATTTTTTAAAGAACAGAGCCCAAATCTCGAGGGATAATTCTGGAGGAGTTAACCCTTAAAGAACAAAGGAACCAGCCTTACTTTGTCTTGGCCAGGCAGTCTGGAATAAGCTGTGTAGACATCTCTCAGGACTCCCTTCCTCTTCATTTCCTCAGTTTCCTCTCTGTAGATGTGATCCAGGTCTGGCTGCCGGCAGCCGAAGAGCAGCGTCATGTCCCCTCCCCTGAGCCCTGGAAGCACGTGGGACAGGGACTGAGCGCCTGGGCACTCGCTGCCACACGGGACTGGCAGCAGGCTGTGCCTACGGGACGGCCTCTGGGGGATGGATTGGCTGTGCCAGTGCAGTGCCCGATTAGCCCGGGAGTGCCAGTCCCTGCAGGGACTCCCGGCTGACATTTGTGGGTGTCTCTGCCCGCAGAGCCCTTGTTTGCAGCAGCGGGGGTGTCCCTGAGCCAGCCCTGCCCCAGCTCCCCTGGTACCTCTGTGCTCCAGGTCATAGAGGCGCTGCAGCCAGAAGCTCCTGAAGGGAGCGATCCCGGTGCCCGAGCCGATCAGAATGCAGGGCCTGGCGGGCTCCTCCGGCAGGTGGAAGTCATTAGCACTAAAAGTCAAGAATACGTTAATTAGGTAACTGGTTTCTAACTGAAATTCACGTTCAGTTGCCTGAATGACTCTGAGCAGCACAGCCCAGGTCCCCAGTCTGAAATAGGGCTGAACTGGGTGCTCCTTGTTCCCTCCCCTTTCCTTACTCTGCAGTGGAGAAGCTGACAGTGGGGATGGGGGTCACAGGAATAGAACTACTTCAGAATTTTCTAATGATTTGTGATTTTATGAAATACTATTTTATTTTACTATGTTTATGTTTATTTTACTAAATGCTATTTTTATTTTACTATGTAAGGTATGGTAAAAGATCTCTTCTCTGGAAGACAGGGAATTAATTCCCTCTCTTCTCAGACCCAGATGAAATTCCAGCTTCAACTCACCAGTCACTTGAAAATATCGAGCCAAGGAAAACCCACTGAAGAAGCTGAACTAAGAACTGCTCTTATTTGGGTTGTTTAATTTCCTTTACCTGCGGATGAAGCAGGGAACGGTTTCATTGAGCTCTATTGTGTTCAGCCACGTGCTGCAGACTCCATGGTGCAAAGGCCCTTTTCCATCTAAAAGCAGAGCAAGGCAGAACACCTGTCAGCGCCCAAAAGCCTTCTGTTTTTAAAAAAGCAGTTTATACTTAAAATTTTAGCATAAATGTATGTCTAGTAATGGTTTATAAAAGATGGATACACTGATGATGGTCCAGGATTTTAGCAAATCTTGGCCTAGTATGGAGACCTGCCCTGCAGGTACTATTCTGTAGGTATGACAACACAAATTTTTTATTACAGATATGCTTCGTGCTGCGTGGCAGGAAGTTTTTTCCCTGAACCATAATGTAGCCTAAATATCATTTAATTAAGAGAGAGATGAAAACAACAGCTCATTACCTCTTGTCCTGTAGTTTACAACTGCAACTGTCAGATGAATCTCTCTGGCTGTCATGTCACAGGATGAGCTGACAGAATAGTACCTGGGCTTCAGAAATGGCAGCTGAGTCAGCAGGAAAGCTGTGGAGATCTCAGCAGAGGGGAATTCCTCCAGGACCTCCAGGATGTTCGGGCTGTTGTAAAACTTCCATTTATTGTATTCTTCTGTGCTCTAAAAAGCCAAACCATCACCACAATGATACAAGGTAATGCTGAGTTCAGGAGAGCAGGCATATTTGAAATGTCACTTATAAATAAGATTCCTGCTGTACATTCAATTAAATATGCAGGTAAATCAACAAAGAGTTTTCAAAACTTTGCCAGGACCAATACTGGGGTTTCCTAAGAAATAATTTAACTTTGAACACAGAAGTTCAGAACCCCTACTACAACGTTCTCAGACACCTGCTCTCTCAGTGAGGATGCAGAAATGGAAGTAGAGCCTGTTTCTCAGCTCCCTGTTGTGGCACAGCCATGAAATTGTGTAGTCCCAGGTCCTGACCTCCCCCGGGCCTCCCTTGTTGGAGTCTGAGACACAGAGCGTGAGCCCTTGTTTCTGATGCTTAGCTCTGAGATGCAGAAAAACACTGAATTTCATACAGTATGAAATTCATGAGCATGTTTTCATGGTGATACATGATTACAACTGTTAAAGTTAGATACAAAGGCTAAAAGTGTGAGTGGATTAGAGAGTTTTCTTAAGTCACTGGATGAAAAAGTTAAAATTTAGAGTTTAAAATAGTTTAGAAAGCAGAAGACAAGATGGAGGATTTAGATTGTTGTTTCTTTTCCTTCTTTTTTCTCCATGTTCTTCTTCTAGAAGAAACCTCTTCTTCTAGAGGTTTTTGGGTAATAGTAAGTGATTGGTTAGAAAATGCCGCAGTGCAGCACACAGGTGTTGGGTCATTAAGAAAAATAATATACATCTCTATTGTTAATTGGATAAGAATAAGTATAAAGGTAAAAGAATTGTGTAGTTCGGGGCCATTTTGTGCTTTCAAAGCCAAAGTGAGCCACAAGGCCATTCTATAACATCAGAAAGAAATGAACCAGATTGCAGTGAATTGAACTTGTGCAGGTAGTCTGGAGGGACCTGCCAAGTTTTGTGATAACATCCTAATAAACATGAGAAACAAGATCCTAACAGGCTTTGGAGTTTTTGTCCTGACCCAGAGGACTGTGATAAACGGGATTCCCTGTGAGGGACTATCCCCAAGGAGCTCAGCTCAGAGGAGACTGAGAAATCCAGGAGTGAAAAAAAAGTACAGAAGAAGTGCAGCAGAATCAGAAAGAGAAAAAAGAAACAGAGAAAGATTTTTTTTTTTTTAAAAAAAAGTTACATCCCTGAAGCTGGTAGGAGTAGCCAGCACTTACCACACCTGTGAGTCATTTCTTAAAGCCACATCCCTCTGACCCTCAGGGTAGCAAATTCTCTGACATAAACATTTACCAGCTGCCCTGCAGCTCCTCCACATGCAAAGTGTAAGGTCTTTAAGGGTGTCTCATCAGAAACCACTGCATGGCAAGAGAATCAGGCAGGCAAATGACCCACCCAGAACCACACAGGAAAAACCACATCTTGGTTCCCACACCCAAGCTGAGCCTCAAGACCCCTCTTCCTCTGACTGTGGTTGGCTTTCCAAGACCACAGAATATGTAACAGAAACATAAAAAACCATCACTACAAAAAATTCTTAAGCTTCTGCTACAGAGCCAAAGGGCATCAGAGGGCTTAGTGCACAGTTCTGCAAACACATCTCCAGCCCTAAGGCTCACCTGACACAACACTTCCAGCCTCTGTTTGTCTCCTTCTGCTGTCACCAGCTGGGAGAGTTTTTTTAGCAGTTGTTGGGAGGGTGGAGTAGTGATATCAAGCAAGTATGTCAAAGCCTCAGGTAGTGTGCAGGCTGGAACCTTTTTATGACTTGTCCAGTATCCACCTGGAAATGAGGGAAAGAAAAGGACACTTAGCAACACACACAGTATTTGAGAGCTGTGAAGATTTGCAAAACTCAGTGTCCTTCAAAATACCCCTTCAGGTGAGGGTGCAGCAGGTCTAGACCACTGAGCCCTCCTGAAAGAGATTACTGTGAGGTTTTGAACATTTTGTAAGGGGAGGATCTGCCACAGAAAATTCATGACAAAAAAATACCACTTGGAAAGTCACAGTCTTTAATTCAGGGAAACCACCTTTCCATGTTCCAGAATCCTATGATTGTTCCTGCTACTACGGGAAAGAAGGGCAGGACATATAGGTCTATTTTAGGACTCTTACATGTAGCAACAATAAGCAAACTGTTGATTAATTTAATGGCAGTCAATGGCCAGTTCAGCAACTGAATTAGTGCCACCTCAGGTACCTCTGCAACCCTGAAGTCATGGTTTTGCCAGAAAGAGCAAAATCATAACCACGAATTGTAAGAATAGCTAAAAATCAGCAGCAAATCCTATTGAAACTTAAGAAAAGGATCATAGAATCAAATTCAGTCAACAAAAATTCTTATGAATTTTAACAGAATCTGTCCAATATCTCTGTTTTTTTGTCTAAAGAGACCCAACTTACCATCAATGCAGGTTTCAAGCCTGATAGTCTGGTCAGCTGGAGGGGCATCCTTGACTCGTGCAATAATGCCATGGACTAACTCTGCCTGGTTGCCTGGAAAAATCCCGATGTGCTCCCCAGGAAGGTAATGCACTTCCTGGTTAGTCTCACAGTGAAGTTTAACCAGAATGGTAACACGACTGGATAGCAAAGAAAGAGAAATGAGACAGATCTTGGTAACATTGACAGGATTTCCCTTGGATTGCACAGGAAAGGAATAAATCTGCAGTAGCAGTTGGCAAGGGCTCCCTTGTGTTCGTTCCCAAATACCAGAGCAGCTTAGAGCTTCACAGAGACAAACAAATCAGAGTCCAGGCACGTGAAGTACTTGTATCCAAACAAATTGGGTGCTGAAGTTCTGCCTGGTCTGTCCAATACAGAATAAACACACCTGGAATCAGCCAGTGGAAGTGAAGACTGCACAGCTCACATGCTTCTACTAAGGACAGTACAAAATTCCTTTACATTTTGTAATAACTGCAGGGAGAAGATGTTTATAACCAAGCACTTTAGATGTTAAAGATTTTGGTAAAATGTAGTATTGCAATACTCAAAAGAATGAGGTAGCATACCTGGACTTCAAACTTTGAAGATTCTGCCTGAATTTCAGCTTCATGGGAATTACATCCTTGGCATGAATGCTTGCAAGAGCTGGTGAGAAAAGTGGATATGACTCTTGGTAACTCTGATTAGGTTTGTTTAAAATGTCTTCAATTAATATGCAGAGGAGAACTGAACCATGCTTGTCCTAGAAGGTGACCAACCATCAGTCAGTTGTGTGTGCCCCATTCCCTGACTAAAAGCAGTTCATCTCAGCTTTTGTTCCTCTGGGGCTGTCTAAATGTGGGATAGTTCCAGTGTTATTGTGCTAGAAAAGATAACTTAGACAATGTAAACCAGTGTATTTTTAAATCTGACCATGTGCTTCATTATAGGCATTCTACTGTCCAGCAGGGCCAAAAGCTCTTCTGAGAAAGCTTCACTGTTCAGCCCCTCTAAAGCAGCAAAGGCAGAGGGAGGAAGGTGGGAGCAATACCTTTAGCCAGGTCCATGGGCTGGGAGTCGTGCACTAGCCTGTAATTAGTAGGGTCCCAGCTTTCCTCAGAGCTGTAGATCTCAGGCAACTGAATACTGTGTCTCCCACGGATGTTAAAAATGTCACAGGCAGTCTAGGTAAAATACCACAAAAATAAAGGCTATGCACAGTAAAAAAAAAAAAAAATATATATATATATTTATATATTCTTAGCACAATCCTAATACAGAGGTACCAGTTTCACAGACTGCTGGTTTTTAGTGCCTCTGCTGTGTGAGTTCAGTGAGTTGTGAGGTTCCACTTCTATAACAGTATAGCTAAAAAAGATCTACTGCAAAAAATTCAGATGTTTGATGCTACACTTGTTCATACTGAGCATTCCATTATCCAAAAGGGTTAATGCAATTTTGGGTGGATATTAAAAAATAATAGAAAAGGGACCCAGTTCCCTCTCCAAGTTAGGCAAGCAGTAGGGAAGAGGGGAGTTCCAAATTCAGATATAAATTCAGATGTTTGCTTTCTTTCAATTTCCTTCCTTTTTATGAGAACTGAACTCAAATGAATGGATGAATGAGTAGAATAAGAGATGTATTTCTATATTCACCTTGAAAGCACTGATTGCCCAGCTACGGAAAGCTTCTTCTTGCCCATTGAGTTCATCCCCTTCACCCACTGGAGTGAGCTGGGAAGCCCCAAGTTGGGCCAGTTTTTGGTCAATGGCATGAGCAAAGGCACAGAACTCTGGGTACATGCTGGATCCCAGACCAAACACAGCATATCTGCAGAAGGAGACAAAAAGAAGGTTGCTATGTTATGCTATATGGAGTGCTAAAGGACTCAATTGCATGCAAACCAAAGTATTTTTACCTAATTTTATTTCTCAGCACTTTCAGTCTGAGCAAGGAGTCCTTCAAGGTCTGCATAAAAATACATAAAATACACTTAAGGATAGAAAAATACTCTGATTTAAGACAGAATACTCTGATTTGAAATCTGATCCATATCTTACTGAAGAACATGAGATAAATGAAAGGTTTGTCTGGTCTTTGAGCTGAGTCTCATACACACTTCTGAGGTGAACATTACCTTTCCGTTACCTGGAGAATCTCCATTTCCAAAAGTGCTAGTAACCACTAAAAGAAGTGTTTCTTTTTCCAGGTCACAAATATTGTACTCATCCATGCACAGAATCTGGAAGGAATAAAGCTCATGAGACATTGCTCACAGCCATAAGAACTAGCCTTAGATATCTCAGATGACTGCTGACCAAACTTATGGCATTATGCCAAATGAATACAAAATCAAAATTATAGTCCAACTTGTATTTACAGAACTTTCAAAATACAGGTTTGGAAAAGGGAAAAGCCTGCAGAAGCCAAACTCCTGTCTCCAGAGGCGTGGCTGATTTGTACTGCTCACCTTAGTGCTGAAGGCACAGCTGAACAGGCTGCACAGGTTATTGGCGAGCGTCTCTGACTTGCCCGTCTCTGTGGCATAGATCACAGTGACCTTGGCCCTGGTGGCCACTGCTCCTTGCATGAGTGAGGATGCAAAGAGCACAGCCCTGGGGAAGGAACAGTCACACACAACTTTTAATGGAGCTACACTAATTCAGGCTGATTCACAAATAAGCTAGGAAAGACTGAGCTTGAGAATGGCTTCTCTCTGGAAGATGGTTCTGAAGCAACACACTGTCTGTAGACAGCCCTAAGCAAGAACCTTAGACAGGAATGTTTCCTCAGGGTGGACAGGTGAGGCTGTGATTCAAATCACTCAAGTGGTCTCTACTGTAATAATTGTTTTTAAAGAAGTAGAGCAGAAATATTACAAGAATAGAATAGTTGGACAAAGAATGAAGAATCTTATTTGAACAACTTACTTTGCCAAGATGCTAAACCTTATTTCTTTTTTCCTTGGCCTGCGGGTCTCATCATGCCACACATGTGTTTTCCATGCATCCACCTTTAAAAAGAAAGTTATGTTTTAAGTAAGGAATGCAAAATAGTAAATAAACAATTTGTGTATCTTTAAGGGGCCAGATCAATCAGAATCTGTATATACAACCCACTGAGTAAAAATATGGGATCAGTCTCTGCTGCATTAAACTGTATTTCAATTAAAGCCAGAGAATTCAACAGAACTAACAGCACCTCCCACATCAAATAGCTCCTGTCTGCTCCTTCTGAATCTGTCTAGTGAACTTCCATGAACTAGGGCTTGGCACCCAGGCTCCCTCAGGTCCTGTATCACATCTGTACCACTCAGGTTGTCTGCTAGAGTCGGTTTTTCTTTTGATGATGTGTACCTGGTAGTAATAGAAGGGAGTGAGGACATAGTTCAGCATCTCTTGGTGAAACACAGGGGTTATGCTGCCTGACATGGGAGGCACAATCCACACCCAGTCTGCCGGGCAGCCGCCCCGCGCACGGTACTCGCTCTGCATGTACTTCAGGAAGGACTCGGCGGCCGAGTGGTGATCCATGATGGTTACATTCTGTTTCTAGAACAACAGCAAAGAGAAAAACATGCATTAAAAACCCTATTCTGCTCTTCTACTGGGTGTAGCTAAAGTAATCCTCTTGCTTTGGTCAATATTTCAAGAACTTTACTCAGAGTAAAGGGAGTATTTATGGGAAATAAATACTATCAGCAATTACTCTAAAGATACAGAGTGAGGTGTGGGCCTTTGATTAAGAAGTCTTAGATCTTTTCTTTAACATTGGCATTTTACCTCTGCAGCACTGGGAGTGCATGCTGCAAAGCCTCTGACTCACTTTTACCCACTTTTCATGTTGTCATGATATGTTAAACTGGAATTGAAAATAAAATATATTAATCCAATGGCTTTACATAGGTTTTGAAATATAGATAAATGTGTTAAAAGGATGAAAAATCTTGCCCTTTAACTGCCTTTTTGCATTTTTCTCTTCCTTCTGCCTTTACCTGTGAGGAAATATGGATTCTTGTACTTTCTCAGGTGTAAATCAAGAATAACTCTAGTGGAATCATAATGTCATCTCCACTGAGTGAGAGGAAAAAGGGACCGTGAGTATCCAGTGTCTCTCCAGATGCCACACTCAGTGATTTACCTGGAAGCTGTGAAGCACAGCCACATTGATCTCTACAACAGCTCGGTCCTTCCATAATGATGAGAGTTTGTTTGTTTCCAGTCCCATTCTCCTCCCCACCTCCTACATGTGGAAAAGATAGAGAAAAGAGAAAAGCAAATTTACGATATGGAACTTAGACCCCCTGATTTCTCAACCTCATCAACTTTGTAACAGGAAAAAGTCGTGTAGAAGGGAAAAGAGTCAGAATCATGTTGGGGAAAGTGATGGCAACAGAAACCTGAGATTAAAGGTAAACTGGAATTTTGGAGCTCTGGTTCTTGAGGATGTTCCAGCTTCATAAGGCAGGGAGTGGTTCTCTCCCATCCCAGTGAATATTGATAGTGTCTCTTTTCCAAAACTGTTCCTGCACTGAGTTCCCTCCCTTTGCAGCCCAGCCCAGCTCCCCTCCAGTAGGTCACCTTCAGGATGTTGTAGCGCTGAGCATCACAAAAGTCCCGCACTCCAATCTCTGTCCCCATGTACCAGCCATTGAAGGGACAGGCGGTGAACTCCAGCCCTCCCACCTCCAGCAGCATGCTGGCCACAGCAGGCAGTGCATACCACTTCAGGTCCAGCTCCCTAAACCACTCGTACCTGCCAAACAAGAGTTATTATTTGTGTGTTTTTTCCTCGAAAAACAGAAAAGCCCAGGAAGATAAAGAGTACCAATTCTAGGAGGAACCCCTGCAGCAGGGTCTGCAGAAACTCAGAGCAGTTTTCAGTGCAGAATTTGGGAATCACCAGCTACAGGAACTGCAGAACCATAATACATAGTTCTGCAATCTGCAGGCCAGTTCCAAAGCAAACAAGAAGGAAAAAAAATGAGAGAAAGGCAATAAACACTTATGAGTTATGAGTGCAGTGGTACATGTGCATTACACTAGCATAAAAAATTAGGATTTTTAAAATTCTGAATATAATTGAAATGTAGATTGGAAAAAAAAGTTTTTCCAACAAAACTGTAATTTGCTTCCTTAATTTAAATCTCATTTCATTGTTCTAACTGGCATTTTATCTTTCAGGATGATTTACCATCATTTCATCCTGACAAAGAACTCACAAAACAACTGCCACAGGCGCAGCCCAATAACCTGCCAAGGCAGAGGCAAAAATGCAATTTTCTAAATCTTGCGTGCTTACTTTGGATGCTCCATTGGCACTTGGAGGACAATTTCTGGAGGTAATTCAAATATTTCTGGGTCTCGGCCATTTGCTTGGAGAACAAGTGGAAGTACATCAAAGCGGCCATATTTCGGCTTCCACCCAAGCTCAGTGCACAACTGCAAATACAAAAAGCACATTTTCTGTGTTCTTTTCAGGTTTCCCCTCCAGATCTGAAGACAAAAGAATTTTAACCCCCTGAAACCTGCTGAGGTAAATTCTAAGTAAAAAATGTCCTCTTTGCCATTCCAACAGTGTTGAGTCACGCTGATGAAGTACTGATTGTGTCCCTAGTCATGTCTCCTGACAGTATTAGTTCACCATGTCTGAGATGGAGGGCAGCACTTTGATATGAGGACTATAGGAGATTATTGTTCCAGCCTGCACCTACAACCTGTGGGGCAGAACACCCCATTCACTCCTCACCTCTCTACCACTCTGCATAAACATGTGAGGAAGGAGCCCCAGGGAGGGGGGTTAGCCAAGAGGGGAAGCAGCTGTGGCCGTGAGTTTGGAGCTGTACCTGAGTGAACTCCACAGTGGCAGGGTCTCCAAGGACAGAGCCATCTGGCATTTGGTAGCCAGCGTAGCGGATCAGCTGGCTGTTCCACACACGGAAATCGTGCTGCCCGTCCGTCCTCTGCGGGAACACCGTGATGGCTGACCTGCCCGGACAGAGAGCACGCCTTACAAACGCATCCTCACTATTCACACAGAAATTGCTACCAACAGAAAATGTTTTACATTTCTAAAATGAACATCAGTAGAAATAAAATCATTCATCCTCTTTGCCCACCTCCCCAAATCTTCAAATCATCTCTTTTCCCCGGGAATTGCAAAAGGTTTTGTAACATCAGCCATGACAGTTACACATTTTCAAGATGGTTGAGGGAACACATGACAGGAAAATACAAGTACCAGGAAAATTAAGAGCAGAGACAAGTTGTCAAAGTGTTTAGATAGACCATTTCATGTGTTTTTGATGCCAGATCTGGATATGATTTTTGTTGTTTAAAATTAAACTTAGAGACCTACCTTATATTGCCATTATTTGTGGCATACTGAATATGACGACAGATATGCTCAAACATTTCCTTGGCTGTTTTACAGTCCCGTGCATCAAACACCTGTGTGTTTCCAACAGAAATGTAAAGAAGAAGACTAATTTTGAAACAGTAATCCAAAGCTGTTATTTTTCCTATGCACTTAAGGAATGGAAAGATTGTGGCTCCACTAGGAAAGGTTCATTTTTTTATTTCTTATATGTATCATTTTCACCCATAACAATCCACCAAGGACCAAAATATGCACCTGGTTCCATGACACACCTGGTTCTTACACTGCTACACATTTTCATTCAGCCATGAAGCAGAGAACTACAAAGAAGCCAATCTCCTGATATGGACAGGAGGGAATCCTCCTGATTTGAAAACAGTGACATTCTTCTGAGTCATAGCAGAGGACTGTTTGGCTACAGCTTAATTGGACATCCACAGCTCACCTGCAGATTGGACCACTGGATTCTTCCAATGCACCTGGGCGCGTTCCTCCAGGCCTGCTTGGCAGCAAAGATCAGCTCATCCTTTGTCAGGTGGTAGGTTCCTGTTGTTTCTATCTCCTTGGTCACTGTTTCCAGCCGGCCCAGCTGCTCTTTGATTTTTGGCCTTTTGAACAGGAAACAGCCATGAAAAGAACAATGAGAATTTCATTCAAAGTGCAGATGTTCTTTTTATGTTTTGGCTTCAGAATTTAAGACTTGTCCTTATGGAGTGCAAGGACAGAGCTTATTGGCCCCATGGAGAAACTAACACAAGAAATTTAAATATTGACACCATCCTTTCACTACCCAATATATGCATGGATTGGCCACAAACTATTCTGTGTAAAATTTTTGGTGTAAATTTGGATTTTCTAGATTAATTTGAAAAAAAATCACAAGGAAATGAAAACCAGGGCACATGTAGGTTGAGAGTGACTGTCCTCTCAAAGTTCCATTGTGCCTACAAGGCCACAGATCTTCTGAGTAAAGTAAGATTTTCATTCCTAAAAGGAAGTGCTGAGCTGCTCCTTTGTCCAGGAAACCAACTCTAAAATTCTTGAGTTTCATAACAGAGAGTGAAGTCAAAACATTAGAAAATATTTATCACAGCAGAGACAAAAATTGTTTTGTTGTCTTACAGACAGAATGAAAATAGCCTGCACTGTCTGAGAGTTTTCACATTTTCAGCAAGATGAAAGATCAAGGGCAAGCAAGTGAGATAGTGTAAATCAATGTGATCAAACAGCAATGAGCAGAGACACAGGGATGTGCAAATGCAACAGGCTAGTGAGGACAGCCTGTGTGTAAGACAGGGATTTTTCAGAAAGATTCAGAGGGAAGAAAGATTTGCAAGGAGTTCAAAGTGTCTAAAGAAGTGGCCATTATGTGGCTGAGTCCCTTTGAAAGTTTGATAATCCTTTTGAATGGGATGAGCAAACACTCAACTGTTGCTTGAAAGCTCATGTGGAACTGCACTGCAAGCCCTTGGAAATCAACCAGCTCTTCCAGCATTTTCTGCAACAAGATGCCTCTGCACCATGGCCATTTTTGTGAAAACACAAACCCCTCTTGGAATGCTCAGTGAGTTTATGTTGATAGCACAGAGCAAGGGTGAGAAGCAACACTGGCCTTCCAATCTATGGCTAAAGCCTTGAGATGAACACAGAGAAAAGATACTTGGAACAGAACAAACAAAAGGCATTATCCACATTGAGACTCATCTGAGGTGCAGCTGATCTTAAGAAGCTAGAAGGTAATGCTCTGGCAGAGTCCTCAATGTTCTGGAATGTAGCACACTCCAAAGGGATGGAGCTGAGGAATGCGTGGTCCAGAGTCCTAACCCGTGTTCTCAAGATCTTGGATTGGAAGATGGAACACATGAAGTGCAATGACAGTTTTATTTAGCATTTTTAACAGGCCTTACATATTTTTGAATGCATGCTGTGTAACAGGGTAGTTACCAAGAGATGTGAAGAAACCAAACCCTCCTGGAGGCTCACAGACAGACAGGTAGGTAGAGGATTTTATAGCAAAAATCAAGTTGACTTACTCTTTAAAGGAACTGTAGTACTGCTTGAGGAAGTCTACTGCCTGAGGTAAAAGATCTTCCAGTGGAACTGGCCCATCTCTGGTACCTCTCACCAGGCCCTTTGGGGTCATGACTGACCCTTGGCAGGCTTTGGTCCGGCAACTGATAACCTGAAAAACAATACAATGTCAAAAACCAATGTTGCACTCTGTATCTTTTAAAATTTCCGACAACTCCCTGTTCATATTTCCATATTTTACCTCTTTTGCAGTCAGGTGTAATGTGTCAAGAAAGCTGGATCCATTTTCCAAATTTCTTACTTTTACATGTCTTGGACATCCTGATACTTGGTTTGAAACTTTGATGTCATTTGGAGGGAGATTCTGGGCAGAGAACAGATAAAAATGCATACTGTCTTCAGACCTATTGAATATACTTCAGTTTCATTTTAGATTTAATGTTAACATCAAAATATTTCAGATTAAATTCAAGAAACCAGATATAAATGTGATCTGCTCCAACATGATTATTTGACTACAAAACTGCAGAGCTAGTCTACAGTTTGATATTAAATGGGGGAAAGAAAGTATTTTTGTACTAATCAAACAGTGTCTGCCACTGCAAATAATTTTATAATTTCAGTAAGTCCTCTGAGTATCTCTGAGCATTACAGTCACAGTCTCAGGAAAAAAGTGTACCAATTTCAGAGACAGGACAGGCTTGTTACTAAAGGTCTGCAAAGGTATATAAAGGAATCAGGCATTGCAGTCCCCATGAGGTCACCTTTTCCTTTAAGTCTTATCAATGCTCCATTTTTGTCAGAAAAGAACTTTCACCCAAAGATGCCCCAGCAGTCCTAACCTCCTGCAACCACAGTCAGACCTCCCAGGATAATGTAGAGCAGTTGTGAGCAGCAAGCACCACTCATGAACTGTTACTATCAAGCAATGATGCTGGGAACAGACCTCTCTTTCCTCACTGGGCTTTGCTGAAGTTACGATAGGCAGCCCCTCCATCTGCTTCTTGCTTGGAGCATGCAATTTGGCATCAGCCTTTTCTGAGCTTCAGCAGAGAGAAAGAGAAGTCAGTACGAGGCAATGTGCTTTATTTCAGGCTTTGCTTTCAGCATCAGCAGCAGATGCTCAGTGCTGTCTCTGGAATATGTACTGAGCCCATAAGCCAGCAGTGGCAGTGGGCAGGATTCAGTAGTAAAGCCATAGTACCAGGGCACTGTGTACAAGGAAAGGAAGGAAGGCAGGATATGAAACCTGAAATAAGTAACACCCTGAAAAGACGGGAAATAAGTAAAACCCTGACAGAGAAATTTTAAATGCATGTGTCACTTATTTTATACAGTGTTGTGTATGAACTGCACCACAGAACAACTTCACCAACTTAATTACAGTATAAATAATCACTAAAATAATAATAATAAAAATAATAAATATAAAATTAAAATATTTATAAAATAAAAATATAAATAAATGCTATTTTTATAGCATACACACCTCCTGAGATTTAGAATACCTGAAACCATGATAACACACCAAATAAATTTAAGACTGTGAAAGAGACAGCAAGATGATTTATATGCTCAATGACTGTTTAACTTTGACACAACTGTTTAATGTTCATTACCAAATTACACCACCCAGAGTCCCACAGTTCTTTGGTAAATACCAGTATTTTGGAAACACATTACAGGTTTCTCCAGGACCCAAACCACTTAATATCTTCCCTTTTCAAATCAAAGATAAACTATGAAACCATTGGAAACTATTAAAAAGGATCTTACCCATGGATCTTCCTATTTTTCTCCACGTTGTTGTTGATATCTTTCTCTCTGGGGTACTGGTTCTTGGCGGCATGAGATTTGAACACAAACTGCCATGGGCACAGCATTTTGTATGCTTTTTTTGTGGTTTTACTTCACTGTGCTGAAACCTTGTTTTGTGTGATGTGGGAACACTTCTAAGGACATAAAAAACCCAACAAGGTCAGTTTTTACCCAAGAGGGCAACTCCCTTTAACATCTCTCAGAAACTCATCAGCCTAACTGATCTGATCTAACATCCTGTGTTTAAAATGAAAATTGCTTGATTCTTAGGATAGTGATACTAAAACTAACACTCTCTCAGTACATGGCAGCCATGTACTAATCTAAAATACTGGCAAGAGAATTTCAGAAGACTCCTAGTCATGTAAAGCAGCAAATATTGGTATCTGAGCAGACCACAAGCTTAGAAAAGGGATGTGAGATGTTGCTGTGTTATAAATGAACCAAAACATTTTGCAGTGTATCCACCTGCTAGAGATAAACAGGATTCTGAGAGGCTGAAGTCTGTGATTTCTAAGATGTGTAGCACTTTTTCATAGCATTTACATAAGAGTGTACAAAGTTTATGCTATTCATTTTAACATACATTTTCTGCTCATTTCTGAACATAAGATGGATTTTATGCTAGGGAAACTGTGACAGAAGAGAAAGATCAAGCCAGCAAATTGCAGGGTTAGAGAGAATCAGCCCCAGCATTTGAATCTGGTTCATAAAAGAAATTAAAACCTGGTATTTCCAAAGGTAGAAAATAGACATTGTCACATATTCCTGATGTAAATTATGTCTTATTTTGATACTTATGTTGCTTTTACAGTAGAAGTTAAATTTATGCTGGGCTCTGAAGATACTGTCTGTTGTAAAGTCACACAAAAAGAGAAATCCATTCAACTCTCTGTGCAGAAACTGCAAGGTGTTAGGATTGATTGCTACTCTAGGTGATAGAAATAATGTGTAATAAGCATTTGTCTACAGTTACAAAATAGGAAAAATATCTAAATTACTATTCTGCAATAAAAAATCTGTAATGTGCCTATACAATTTTGTGAAATAGAGGGGTAAAAGAGAGAAGAAATGGAGAGGGAAGAAAGAAAGAAAGAAAGAAAGAAAGAAAGAAAGAAAGAAAGAAAGAAAGAAAGAAAGAAAGAAAGAAAGAAAGAAAGAAAGAAAGAAAGAAAGAAAGAAAGAAAGAAAGAAAGAAAGAAAGAAAGAAAGAAAGAAAGAAAGAAAGAAAGAAAGAAAGAAAGAAAGAAAGAAAGAAAGAAAGAAAGAAAGAAAGAAAGAAAGAAAGAAAGAAAGAAAGAAAGAAAGAAAGAAAGAAAGAAAGAAAGAAAGATAGGGAAAAAAAGGGGAAAAGGAAAAAAATGAGGAAAATGAGGAAAAATATGAAAAGTAATAACAGGAAAAAAGAATTCTAATAATAAAAAGAAAAAAATAAGAAGAAAAAGCAAAAAGAAAGAGAGCAGACTCACATTTCCCTTCAGTGGCACTCAGAGCAAGAAGCTCCTTGGTGTCCTGCACCGCGGTGTTCTGTGGTAGCACTGACAGTATTACCTGTTACATGCACAAACCTTTAAATCAGCAGAAAGGAGGAACAAAGTTTTCACAACTGGACAGCTTGGAACTAGAGCAGAAGACTGAGTCAGACACTTTGCTCCTAATATAGAACAAAAAGATACAGCTTGCCATATAAGTACTTTACCTGTGATCTGCAGTAAATGACAGAATGAATAGCTGGACACAGTGCTTCTCACCGTGCTTTTGTGAGAGGTGTCCCAGCCCTGCCAGGAGAGACTCCTCTCTGTAAAAGTTTCTTGCCTTTCACCTCTCAGGCTCTGTATCCCTCCCGGGAGGCAAAAGCCTTTTATAGTGCAGGACCATGTATGCAAAATTGCTCTGAGCAAAGCTGGACATAAGATAGCGAAATCAGGGGGATTCCCCTGATTCTTGTCCTGTATTGCTTGGAGAAGTGGAGGGTGTGTGGCTGCTGCACGAGCAGCATTACATAACCTGTGTGAGGGAGGGAGGCAGCTCCTGATGCTGTCAGCATCCCTTCCTTCCCTGGCGTGCTGCAGCCTTGACTCCTGCTTGTGCTTCTGGAAATGGCAGGTGTTTGCAGCCTTGCACACAGTGTTAAAATTAAAATAAAAAAATGCTGAAGGGCTTCTCACAGCTTTCATCTCTGTGTGGCCAGTCTCCAGGCACCCTCATGTACACCACCTATGGCTGTAGGAAGAGGGTGGACAACTTCAAGAGAAATGTTACGGAGCTGTAGAGCTTTACAGTACAGGCCAGGAAAGCATTTAACCAAGTGCTTATAACTAAGGACAGGTATTTTAAGTTTCACATACATATACATCCTTACTTTTGATCAGATTTTAAAGGATCTTTCTCAATACAGTATTTGTAGAATTACTTGCTCTCCAAAGCTCCCTGTTCTGCCTGTTGCTGCCTGTGAGATTTGTCCCTTGGTGCTGTTCCAAAGTATTGGGAATACTGGAAGAAAACTGCACCTTGCTGAAGTACAAACCATTCCCACCATGCTGTATATGGGAATACCAGGGGGATAGCTGGATGAGGAAGATGGGATTGCTGGGCTGATTTGCGATGTCAGACAACATGTGGACACACATTTTACAAAACCAGACTTCTCCCAGCAGTCTGGAAGGCAGAAAACCCTTGGGACAGGGCTGGCAGCAGCAGTGCCCAGTGCTGTCAGGCACCTGCAGCCCATGAGTGTGATGCCAGATAGTGCCCCAACAAGGATTTTGACCTGCCTTATTTGTTTCTTGATATTATGTATGGCTATTTTAAGGAAACTGTTTACAAATTAAAGACAACTAATAAATCTGCTGACTAATATGAGTCAAATGAAGTGCATTGATAACAAGGGAAACATTTACAGTTGCTGACCAAAGATCTACAATAATGAGGCATAAGGCAGCCAGAGAAATGAGGAAATGCGTGCTCTTTTCTTGTCTGTCAGTCTTTTACTGGGCAAGCTTGGGCAAAGTGTTTTCTTCTCTCTGTGTCTGGCTTCTCTGTTTGAAAATGAACATTAGGTGATTGTGTAAAGCATTTCTAGAGGCAAAGCAAGTGCTGTGCACACGTGTTCATGCATGAGATCCCTTGTATGCATCCTATCCAGGATTCTTAGGGATGAATTTCTTGACAAACAGACCTGAGTTTTCTGAGCATTCATCTTCGTGGCTTTATCAAGCCTGTGCTGCTTAGCATCCACTGCTCATGAATTTTCACAGTTGGGTTTTTCTTTAATGTGATGCCTTTCCTCTCACCAGAATTAGCAGGTGA